ACCCTGGCATTCTAATAAAATACATATTTATAGAAAGAATAAAACATATATTTAGAATGCTATTTAGAATATTTTAAAAAAATATTTATAATACTATTTTTAACTTGCGTTTTTCACGCAACAATCTGCTGGGACATTCTACCACATCACCAAAGAACCACATCATCATTTCTAACAGCTGTACAATCTTATTGTTTGAATGAATCAATTTATTTCACATTTTCGTATTTCCTATTTTTAAACATAAATAAGACTGTGATGAACACTGAATATATGTGGTAATAAGAAAGAACTTTGCCAAAGTTTCCAACAACCTTCTCTTGGAGCCTCTTTGGTCAGTACTGGGTCATAGGCCCATTCCTGATTTAATCACTCATAAAGGGGAAGGAACTAACAGAAATGATCTAATCTGAACTCACTCCAGGACTTGGGCTGATTCATGTGTGCTTGGGGGAAGGACATGGGGGGGGGTACACAGGTCTGAATTCCTGAACAAAAGGAAGAAGAATCAAGTGTCCACTGTAACAGTTTTGAACATTTAAAGGGGTTTAAAATATAATAAATGGTCTAAGTTTTGACCCTAACAGCAATGTTTAAAAGTGCTAGTTGCTCTATATCCTTGCAAACCAGGGGTACTATATTTATTTTAATCTTTTTCATCCATTTGATAGATCTAATAAAATGCTTGATATTTTATATCAATAGTTCACAAGAAAATATCTTTAAGATGATTTACAACTCCTTATTGAATGGCATTAAAATTTTCTATTATTGGAGACATAACAAAATGACAGGAAGCTTGCTATACTTAGTTTCCTATAAGTTCAATAGCTACCTAAAATTACAGGTAGTGAAACATGAGCTTCATCTCTACAAAGGGACAATGAAATCACTTCTGCCAATCATTTATCAAAACAAATGTAAGTTAGATTCTAAGATTCTTCATTAGAATCCTATGGAAATTTTTGAAATAAAAAAGCAATAATTCCACTAAACAAGCAAATAATAAATTCTACAAAAGTTATTTTTTAAATGTATAAGGCAGTTATCGGTTTTCAGTCTTTGAATTCATTGACATTTACAAAGTGCTTATTATAGGCCAAACATGGATGCTAAGAGTTTAATAAAAGGAATTTGGGTAATTTACATTAAAGAATAATCTCTTTAAGAGCTATCAGTGCTATATTTTTGAACATCAAATACATTATAAAAGTGTTAAGTTAGTATCATTAGAGCTTTATTCTTTTTGTGTTTTAAAATATATTCATGTAACAAATACTAAGTTGTATTTGGTACATACTGCATTTTTGGATAAAGCTCTTATCAGTAGTGAACAGGCCACAAGGAAATACATTTAAATCATCAAAGGTTTTGCTGTAGTGCTTGACTTACTTTTAATATCTGAGAGCAGACATCATTTAAAGGCCTGATTCGTTTTTACCATAAACTTTGTTCAATAATCATATTCTCACGGCTAAAAAGAATTCAGTACACAATTTATTCCTGCACAGATGACAAAGCATTTGAACTCCTAGAGAGAAATGCTATTTAAACATGTGACATTTATTTTATTAGGTACTAAAGTTTATACTCTAAATATGATGGATTCAAAAAGATACAGAGCATAAATCCACAAATAGTATTTTGTTATATATGCCACCTCCAGACTTGAGTAATTTGGGGTCCAAAATATGCAAAGCAGCTTTATAAAAGCAGTCTAAAATTTTAAATGTTGATAGAAGTTTAGTTAAAAAAAAATTACATTAGGAAATAAAATCCAATCCACATCTTAATGGGAAGAAAATGTGTTGTGGTAAGTAAAACAAATCAAGTGGTCCCTTGTAGCTGACTTTTTTGAAAACTGGAAGCTACATCAGAGAAGTTATAAAGACAATACGTATAAGACAAAGTTAAGTTTACTGAATTAAATACTTTTTGAATATATACATGTTACTAATCCACCATGGGCTTATGCCCCATGAGTTCTAGCTGGCTGGCAGAGTCAACTAACATGCTATGTGAGGCCCAGGTGCTTCCACTTATACTCACATTCGGTCCAAGTACACTTCTGTGATCACATGTTGGGCCATGCCCTCAATCACTTCCATTGTTTGGGTAAAAGTAAACAATAGGTAGGATCTGACTAAGTTATGTTTGGAAGGATTCTCAATTAAATGAGACATTGTGTATGAAGTGCCTGGCAAATTGAAAGAGCCCAATAAATGTTAGCTTTTCAAAAATGTTAGCTTCCCCACCCCCTCATTGGATGGAACCCAGAAATAGCAGTGAAAGTGTGGTTGCATCCAACCTGGGAGGGTTACTTGCATCTGTTTTATTCAAACTTTTGAGGGGACAGAGTTGTACTATGTTCTGCTTCACAAGATGAAAATAAAGTTGAGGCTAAATGTAATTTTGCTATGCTCCTTTTGTACATTTCTGAGCTCACTTTAAAATTAGCAATCTTGGGTAGACTTCATGACATTTTAATCAGAACTGCAGACAAAATACCTGTTCTCATATATGCTTTTCATGGGTGGGGAGGGTGAAGAGGAGAGAGCATTAAACTGCTCCCAAAATGAATGGGATGAATGACAACACCCTGCTGGATAAATATCTTAGGTAAATTCGTAACAGTAACAAAAGTAGACACTATGTATGTTCTTATAAACCAACACAAAGGTCTGCAGACCATGTAGAAAGTCCTAGTTTAGTCACTTTACAGATACTCTATTTCAAAAACTAGAGAGTGCTTTTCCCCCCTCACTTACAGGGCAAAAAAATAATAAAGAGTCATAAAAGAAGTTAAAATGAATGTAATTTGGTTATTACTGAATTATTTTTAGAAGTCACAGTAAAAAGCACAACTTAGCCCATTGAAAAATTAAGAAAATGGGATAACACAAAACTTTATTCAATATGCTCAATGATGGGAATATTTTAAATTACACTTCAGTTCTAGTATGGCCTGTAATGGGGTGGGAAAAAGGATCAGGGAGAGCAAGAGAGAAACCTGGAAAGAGAGAGACTGAGACCAACAGAGACAAGAAAAAACACCAACACAGAGGACAGGCTTGGTGGCTTTTTTTTAAAAAACCTATTTTGTAGTACCCTGTCACATTTCATCTGTACTGTCTTCTTCAGGAATAATACTTTTTTCTACTATCCTTTTAAAAAGGCTATTCTTCATAACTTACCTACTTTTTCCCCCTTAACATTCTTACTGGGTCTATCATGTCCAACTTTCTACAATGATAAAAATGTTCTATTACTGTATCTGTGCTATCTTACACAGTAACCTGTGATTACTGAGCACTTGAAATGTGGCTAGTGTAATACAGCAATGGAATTTTAAAATTTACTTCATTTTAACTAGATTAAATAATCACATGTGACTACCTTATTGGACAGTGTAGTTCTAAGGGAAATTTACAGTGGAAAGGAAATTGGTCTCAAAGGAAATATGCAGATGAATAAACACAGATGAAATTAAACCAGAGTGAATTACAGCCTTTTTACTGGATTTACTGGATGCTCCCCCATCCTTAAAGTATTGTCTTTTCATATCTTATACACAAAGTACTCAATAAATATTATTATTGTTCCTAATACTGCTACTAGCAAAACTAGCCTTAGAACAGAGTGATCTTGCTTTAGGTGTGCATTTCTGCTTCAAAGGCACTCAACGTATTATATTTGCATGAACTGTTTTCTGTGCCCTGTATCTAAACCTCCACTGTTACAAAATGGGAACAGTCCTACCTTCACTGTTCCTCAAAGAAACATGATGTGAATGAATAGATCTTAAAGTTCTTTGCGCTTCTCCTAAGCATGCTGTACCTGACCGTTTGGTTGGTTGTCCTCTGGGCCACTTAATCCTTTCTTCAGTCCTTCAATTATTGCTCGTTTTTCCCAGATGAGGGCCTCTTTGAGGGAGTGTAAACAGAAAAATCAATGGTAGGTAAAGTTTGGCCAGAAATACCAGCCAGGTTAAATGTACAGGGTGTATCTATCTCCTAGACTTTTAGTGCCCTGAGAAACAAGGCTTTTAGAAAGTGTTCAGTTCTTCATGCTGTCATTTTCATTAATAGCTATCAATAAGCAGTTAGAGTAGTGTACCAGCACTGCTCTGCATCATCTAATCACTTCTTGAAATTTACAGGTTTCATTAATTTTCTTTGTATTTCCTTAATCTCATTTTATTCAATAGTAATCAGTCTCTTTCCCTGCTAAGCAGCTGTGAATATTTTCTTTGGTTCCTGGAAGAACTGTAGTTTGGACCTTATGTAATCCTCAAAAAGGAGAGATCTGGCTACAAATGACTCGCCTGCTAATCACACCAATGGCTGCTCCTGCCTGGATTAGTTAGAATATCACCCTATCCCAGGATGCAGTGTTTGTCGTGTAGTAGGTCATCAATAAACACTTGCTTTGTGAATGAATGTATGAATGAACAGAAGTCGGTCGCGTGTAAGGGTGGGCAGCCTTGTATAAATAAATAAAGCGTGGACTAGGGGTCTCAAAATACTTCTTGAACTAAGCCCTTCATCTTGACTACTTTTGGACTACAATGAAAATTTCACAACGCCTTTCCAATTAATTTGCTCTCGCTGCAATGACTGAGAACAGAGCTTCCCTTTAGACTCATGACCTCTACAGGCATCTTTTTTTCCATTTCTTCCTCTAATCAAGAACAGTAATCGCCCACAGCTGTGTCCGCCACACAGGCCCCGGAGGCAGGTGTGAGAGGTAGGACTACGACCCCCTGCCCCCGGCAGCCCCTCCCCAACCTCCAAGGGACTGGGACGTCTTCCTTCATTTCAACAGCAGCTACGAAGACTCCAGCCTTACCCCTCGATACCCTTCCCTCCCTCTCACAGCACTCCGCCGACCCCTTCCCAGAGCTTTCCAGCTTCCGCCGGAGGATCGCGGCTGTGCAGGGGAGCTCTGCTTCCGCGTCGGCGAGAGGCGTGGGCCGTGACGTCACCGCGCCCTGACGTCAGGCCGACGTGCAGCGCGGTCACCCGGGAGACCGGGAAAGCCGTTTCGCACTCGGCGGAATTGAGGTCTAGGTGAGCGACGATGGCTTTGCTCAGCCTCCGGATGACCAGTTCCCCCGGGATGCAGTTCCGGAGCGGAAGCGTGTTCGCACAGGGGAGAGGGCCAGAAAGCTGAGCTGCGGTGCCCCGGTGAGGGGGTGGGGCGCCGTGCTCCCCTGCGGCCCTTGCCTGGTCTCCGCGAGCCCGCCCTACCCAGGCACTACCCCTGACCCCCGACCCTTCGCCCCGCCTTCGCCTCTAGGAATGTGCGGCTCTGCCTCCTCATTCCCGCTCCCTCCTCCTTCTCTTCCGGCTTCAGCCAGTCCGGAGGGAACGGGGTTAGAAAGGGACAGATTTCAAATCCTTTCCAGCAGTTTTGTCTGGCCTTGCAGTTGGTTCATGCTTGGAAAATCCCGCTGCTTTAGGACTTTGTAAGGACGTGAACTCCCGCCTTCACCTGCCCCGGACCTGCTGGGTGATTTACGCGAAGGGAATGGTTCTTTACGTAAGAGCCTGAAAGCTGAACGGGAGTTAATGGCCCAGCGTGACACTGGCGTGAGAAAGGACGTTTCAGGGTTTAAAAAAATATCATGTTCTTGTTAGCAGATTCACAAACACCTAAGTAATCCACAGCCAGTTATCACCGCACCTCTTTTTGCAAAAGGGCACTCTACACAGGTGTAATGTGAAAGTTAAAGGGACTTGTTTGATAAAACACGCAAAATAATGTTAAGAGTAAATTAAAAATTGCAAATTTTCCCTGTTGTCAAACGGGAAAGAGACACTTCTTTTTACTGAGAAACCTAGTATTTGTGACTGCTTTCTTTGTTCCTGTAATAGGTATGCAAATCTTTGCAAAGACTCAGGAATCCTTTTATTGAGGGCCTGGAAGCCATTTCCTTACAATGTAAAACATCAATCTCTTTATCACTTTGGTAGTTTAGGTGCCTTACTCCTATTAATAGTTGTAACCACTTGCTTAGTTACAGACATATGAATTCTTTCGGATGAAGGCAATTAGCTAACACAGATGGCTGTCCCCAATACTAGGTGGATTTAACATGAACAATAAAAGAACATATAGCAAACTGTTAAGTCCTCTTAACATGACAAATTACCAATTTTCTTGAGAATATGTGTGTAATGAATTGTGTCTCCTTGGCTGTAATAGAGTGGGATTTCCTTTGTGATTTCATTAGCAGATTGTCTGTGAAGTCTAGTTAAATGCTTAGTTACTAATAAAAATTGATGTCTTTCTGCATTGTGGATAATTTTCCGGGTTGGCAGGATATTTTATTTTTAATTTTCCCTCAATAATAAGAACCTACCCAATTCTTCCTCTTAGTATACTAAGGCCATAAAGTTGGATTAGATTCACAATGAAGGTACTAAATAAAAACTGTTCTACTGATGCTTTACTTATACTGTCACTCAGATCCATGCTATCAAATAATTTAATGGGTGAAACTTTAAAAGGAGATTTTAGTTGGTAATTTTAGGAAAAATTCTACTCCTAGGAGAGTTGAAGATGATACCATTTTATTTTATGGATGGCAAATCCATTGTAAAATGGCAGAAATAAAAATAATGAGCATTCTGGGCTCTTGCCACATAACTGTGACAATCTGCCAAACATCAGATTATGTACTTGGCCATTTGGGCCTATGTTAACATAGTTAACTTTACCTCCATAATTGACCTCAGTTCCCTTTACCTTCCCCTTACCCCGTGTCATATTATGTTTTATATGGGAAGACATAAATCTCATTAGTTCTTTGTTTTAAATAGCAACTCATTGAAATAAGTATTTGTGTTAACACCTGATGAGGTATCCTCTCTTCCACCAATGGTTGCACAATTTTCAAGAATAATGCCATTATAGGACTTTTGTCAACTACAATTTTCCTGCCACCTTGCTATAGGTGGGGTTGCTCTAGCTGATAGAGTACTGTGCCTTTCTAGTCTATCTTTGTCAAAATCCTGGCCTGATCAAATGTAAACCTGAGGAAGTCTTCACTAACTCCCCACCCACATACTAAACATAAGACATTTTTCTTTCTTGAACTCTTTCTTTCTGCTCTTGTGTATATCTCATGGCCCTCAGGCCTTCTTCCCTGCAATGGAATTATGCCTGTATTATCTGACTCTGCTCCCCACCCTTAGATATATATAAATATCCCCTGAAACTAGACTGTCTATTCTTTCTACACATTTGGGAAGGATTAATAAAAAAGAACCCAAAGTATTTCTCCATTCATCACCTGTGGTTTTATGAAAATAGTGATAGAGTTTTATATTGAATTGCTTTTATTAGAAAAAGAAAATCTGTTAAACATAAAATATCTGCATACAACTATATAAATGTCCATCTTAGATAAAATTGGCACTTCTAATGCTTTGACCACTCTTCTTCTGTTCAGTGCCTGCATATCATATTTAATCTGGTAATTGTAAATGTTTTTTCTGTAGTTCATCATCTAAACCAGCATTCATGCCACAATTGCTGTTCTTACCATTTGCTGAACTAAATACCATATTTAGATTTTTCCTAGCGGCTTTTCAAAAAAAAAACTTGATGATTTAAAAAAATATACTGAAATAAACGTCTATTTAAAATTTTACAGTTATTTTGTATTTGCAAAACAAATAATTAGTAAACCTCAACAGAAATTATTATTAGACTATGAAGTTCTAACAAAAGAGAAAATGTAATTTCTAACTCAGTGATTTCTTTCTATAATTCTTTCTTGTTCTATTGGCCTAATAGCTGAGAAAACCCTAATTGTACCTTGTGACATTGAGTTGATAAAACAACTGTTGAAACAGTTATCCCCATTGATCCCAAAATACTAAGAGTTTATAAATCATCTTAATTTGAATTTTCTTTACAACATTTCAAATCTGACTATTGCTACCGATGTTTTTAGATTGTTTTGCTTCAGAGCTGTCTCAGTATATTTTGGGAAATTATGGATCGTCACATTCCCATGCATGCTTTACCTGAAGAAATCCAAAAGGTACGGTATTATATTCTGTTATTATAACAGTAGGAGCATTTTAGCAGTTACAGAATTTTAAAACCTAGGGACATGAATTCAGAGATATTATATTTATTTTGGTCACAGGATCTGAATGAGTTGGTGGAGTGGGAGAGGGAATCATCATGATGGGCAGAATTGTAGAATTCAATTACATGTAAAGAATTTTGTTCTTGTGGAAGAAGACAAATATGTAGTTCCAGTACAGTATTTGACCAGGTAGTTGTAGAGCCCTAATGAAAAGAAGGCCCCAGAAATGTTCATGTTTGTAAGTTTTTATGAAGCTAGATTTCTGTGTCTCTGTATAATGCGATTTCACCTATGTTAATTCTTGCCACTTACTGTGTGCCACGCACTGTTTTTTAAGTCCTGTCATATATGGTTGATCCTTGAACAACATTGAATCAAACTGCACAGGTCTAATTATACACGAATGTTTTTCAATAAATATATCGGAAAATTTTTTTGAGATTTGCAACAATTAAAAAAACACATGAACCACGTAGCCTAGAAATATTGAAAAAGTTAAGAAAAAGTTAGATCTATCATGAATGTGTAAAAAATATGTAGATACTAATCTTTTGTATCAAATACTATATATATAAATCTATTATAAAAAGTTACAGTATATCAAAACTTATGCACACAGACTGTACATGGTGCCATTCACAGTTAAGAGAAATATAAACAAATGTAAAGATATAGTCTTAAATCATAACTGCATAAAATTTACTGTTGTATAGTGTACTACTGGAATAATTTCATAGCAACTTCCTGTTACTATTGCGGTGAGCTCAATTGTTGTGACTATCTGCTTAAAATGTCATGTGACACTAATCATCTCCACGTTCATCTTTCTAGTAAAAAGTGATCCCCTGCTGTTCTTGTGTGTTTTTCATCATGTTTAGTGCAGTACTATAAGCCTCGAATAATACCAGGGGACCCATATAAAGTGCCACTAGTGATGCTAGAAGTATTTCAGGAAGCAAAGTCATGACATTACAAGAAAAAGTTGAATTGTTTGATATGTACTATAGATTGAGGTTTGCAGTTGTGGTTACCCACCATTTCAAGATAAATGAATCCAACGTAAGGACCATTGTAAAAAAAGAAAAGGAAATTTGTGATGCCATAGCTGTAGCTACACCGGCAGGTGCAAAAACTTTGCCCTTTTTCAGAAATACTTTTTTTACCTCATATTGAAAATGCAATTTTTATGTGGGTGCAGGATTGCTATAAGAAAGTCATCCCTTTAGATTCTAATATTTGAGAAAAAGATGAAATCATTATATGACAACTTTTTTAAAGTTTTATAAAGCAAAAGGAAAGTGAAGGATCTAAAGCTGGAGAAATTAATGACAGCAAAAGATGGTTTGATAATTTTAGCAAGAGGTTTGGCTTAAAAAATATCAAGATAACAGGAGAAGCAGCTACTGCCAACCAAGAGGCAGCACACAAATTCCCAGATGCCATCAAGAAAATCATTGAGGAGAAACAATATCTGCCTGAACAGGTTTTTAATATAGACGAAAGTGCCCTATACTGGGAAAAAAAAGCCACAGAGGACATTTACTAATAAGGAAAAGAAGCAAGCACCAGGATTTAACATAGGAAGGGATAGGCTAATTCTACAGTTTTGTGCAAATGCAGTTGAGTTTATGATCAGTATTGTCCTTATCTATTAAGCTGCTAACCCAGAGCCTTGAAGGGAAAAGAGAAACACCATTCTTTTGGTTGTACAACAAGAAGGCCTGCACAATGAGAACTCTTTCTCTGGATTGATTCCATCAGTGCTTTGTCTCTGAAGGCAGGAAGTACCTTGCCAGTAAGGGACTATCTTTTAAAGTGCTTTTGATTTTAGACATTGCCCCTAGCCATGCGGAACTCCATGAGTTCAACACTGATGGTGTGGAAGTGGCCTACTTGCCCCCAAACACAATGTCTCTAATTCAGTTACTAGATCAGAGGATCATAAGAACCTTTAAAGCTCATTACACACAATATTCTATGGAAGGGATTGTCAATTTTGTGGAAGAGAACCCTGATAGAACATCATAGAAGTCAGGAGGGATTACACCACTGAAGATGCCATCATTATAGAAAAAACTGTGAAAGTCATCAAGCCCAGAACGATAAATTTCTGCTGGAGAAAACTGTGTCCAGATGTTGTGCATGACTTCATAGGATTTACAACAGAGCCAATCAGGGAAATCACGAGATTGTGAATATGGCAAAAAAGGTGGGGATGAAGGGTTTTAAGATTCTGATCTTGGAGAAATTCAAGAGCTAATAGACACCACACTGGAGGAATTAATGGAAGATGACTTGATGGAGATGAGTGTTTCCGATCCAGTGCCAGATGATGAGGAAGAAGACATAGAAGAAACAGTACCAGAAAACAATTGACATTAGATGTTCTGCCAGAAGGGTTCCAGTTATTCAAGACTGCTTTTAACTTCTTTAATGGCATGGACCCTTCTATGATATGGGCACTGCAACTAAAGCAAATGTTGGAAGAAGTATTGGTACCATATAGAAACATTTTGAGAGAAATGAAAAAGCAAAAAAGTCAGAAATTATGATGTATTTCCTCAAAGTACTCTGAGTGTGCCTGTCTCTCCTGCCTCCCCTTCCACCTTCTCTGTCTCTGCCACCTCTGAGACAAGCCCAACCCTGCCTCTTCCTACTCTTCCTCAGACTACTCAACATGAAGACAAGGATGAAGACCTTTATGATGATCCACTTCCACTTAATGAATAGTAAATATCTTTTCTCTTCCTTATGATTTTCTTAACAACATTTTCTTTTCTCTAGCTTACTTTATTGTAAGAATACAGTATGTAATACATATAACATACAAAATCTATGTTAATTGACTATTATCAGTAAGGCTAATGGTCAACAGTAGTTATTAGCAGTTAAGTTTTTGGGAAGTCAAAAGTTACATGTAGATTTTTGACTGTGGGTGAGGGTTGTTCAAGAGTCAACTATATATCAACCCATTTAATCTGGTTAACAGTCAGTTCTTCACAGTTTCTATGCTACTCTCCTCCTTGTTAGTTTACATCTGTCCTCAGACAAAAGCATTTCTCCCGTATTTAGTTTGGCAACCCATACATTGTTAACAGTATAATTTTAAAAATACCTCTTTGAAGATGATTGACTTAAATTGTGAGTTAAAACCTCAACCTTAGCTATCATTAATCATTCAGGTTTTACAGTGAATTTACACTCAACTCTTAATTAACCTCCAATCCATTATATTTTAATTAGAAATTGCAGTCAACTCTCAGATATGCTTTTGTCCATTGTGCATGTTTCTTTGGGCTGCCCGTTGGTATTAATCATGCTGTTGATTTAACTTGATGCTTACTGTTGCTGCCTGTCCTTCAGATTTATGCAAACTGCAACCTAGCAGGAATTGGAAGGGAAGACTAGTTACCAGAGAAGACCTTTAAATCATTGAATTCAATTCTCTTTACCTTTTAATTTAGGTATAAAAGATTAAGCACAGAGAGAGCTCAGCTATGCTTATGTTCACCTGAGAAATGGCACTTATATTGTTTGAAGACATGGAATATCCTTTCTCTTACCCCGAACTGCATACTAGCCTAAATGTGGTAGAGATTAAAAGAAACAAAGCAAAGCAAAACAAAAAAATCTATAAGAAACAATATCTACAGTTCAAGCTCTAATCACCTGTCAGGAAGAGAATATATAATGACATGAAAAAAAAATTTCTACAAGACACTGTATGATTTAAGTGTCATATAAGCTAGTATCTGCTATGAGAATGGAGAAGGATGGTCAAAGGGGGAGCTTTATGCAGGAGGAACTGGAGTTGTTTTTTGTTTTGTTTTGTTTTTTTTTTTGAGACAATGTCTCACTCTTGCTCTCTTGCCCAGGCTAGACTGGCTCTGTTGCCCAGGCTAGACTGCCGTGGCGTCAGGCTAGCTCACAGCAACCTTAAACTCCTGGGCTCAAGCGATCCCTCTGCCTCAGCCTCCCGAGTAGCTGGGACTACAGGCATGCACCACCATGCCCGGCTGCTTTTTTTTTCTATATATTTTTAGTTGTCCAGCCAATTTCTTTCTATTTTTAGTAGAGACAGGGTCTCGCTCTTGCTTGGGCTGGTCTCAAACTCCTGAGCTCAAAGGATCCACGGACCTTGGCCTCCCAGAGTGCTAGGATTATAGGCGTGAGCCACCGTGCCTGGCCTGGAGTTGGTTTTTGAAGGCCAAGTATTTCTATAGACAGCAGGTAAGGCATCTCAGGCCAAAGGACCAGAAGCTTTCTGATGAAAGCTGGCCAACTTAGAGAATGTTTAACAACTTTAGTGTTTTGAAAACATAAAATATGTATTTATTTTGACAAGATTTTTTATGAGAGTTGTAGAGTGTGTTCTCTCATGTTTGAGGTACTTTATAAGTAAATTGTTTAAAAAATGCTAAAATCAAGCATTTCGTAAATTCATGGCCGGAGTGTGAAGTAGGAATGGCAGGCACCTGTCCAGGCAGTGCAGAGAAGTGGGAACTCCAGGAGAGGCTCAGCTGCCTAAGGTCTTGGACATGTATGCTGGTTGTATCCCTTGGCCTGCCTAATGTTTAAAATGTAAAGTGCAGCTTAGCACTTTTTCAGAGCTAAGTTAGATACACTTATACAACAAATATTTATTATATCTGTCATGTGCCAGCCTTTTTTCTGAGTGCTTGATTATAAAGTAACCAAAATATGTATATGCATCCCAAAAGTTATAATAGCACAATCATTTAAAGTAAATATTTGTTTTTCGTAACTTCTTACCTATATTTGATTTATCTAGATTTTGTCTGTAATTTTTAACTTAATTGTCTAGTGATTGGGCAGCATATCTAGTCAGTTTGTGTATATCATCCTATGTAAAATAATGTTAGAGATATAGATGTATAGCTTAAAGTAGTAACAGGAGTAGTTTAGATTAGAACTGTTTCATTTTTAAG